TCAATTTGCTCTATTTTGATCTAAAATTATTATTTTTTGAATTTTTTTTCATGATGTCCGATCAATTAAAATTTTGATTGTTAACTAAAATATTTAAAACAATATTGTTTTAAACATTTCAAGTTTTTTTTATCAATACTTAAAATTATTTTTGAAAAAGAAATTTGGTCTATTTTTTAATACCTAAAATATATATTTATATTTATATTTTATATTTAAGGCTTTATTTTTTTTTAAATGATTTTTTAAAGTATTTCAGTTAATAATTAAAACTTTTATCATGATTTAATTTTTAACCTATATTATAAAATTAGCATCTACCATATTGTATACTGTATTCATAAGCAAATTGGAATAAAAATTTGCTTTGTTTTTCAAAATATTAGATTGAATTCTATAAACAGTTTTCAAATTCAAAATGGTAAGAAGTGGAAAAAAATTGCAGAAGGAATTTTTAAAAAATTCTTGCAATTTTATTTATTTATTAAATCTTGTAAAGCATCTAAATTCAAGTTGCCCAAAATTTCTTTTATTTTTCCATAATTTCTTTCAAATTATAATATTTTCTTTATTAAGAAAAAAACCTCGTTGTTTGGTAGAAAACTTAATATTTTTGTTAAGAGAACTTGTTAACTAAAAAATCAAAATAATTTAGTAGAAAATTTGATATAAAAAATAATTTAGATACAAAATTGATAATACCTTAATAATTTAATAATATATTGATGTTTGTCCGATGTGAAATCTCCCCATCAAAATAGACGACTTGACTGTTAAGAAAAAATCATATGCCGCTAGCCCATTTTAAGTTCTAAAATAAAAGTTGACTCTCAAAATAGAAAACGACTTTGAAAATTTAATTAATAGACTATTCCCTTTGAAAACGAAATAAAAAAACAAAAAGCTTTCAAACCCAAACAAACAAACATTAACAGTAGGGTTCAATGGCTTAGTTTAACCGCAAATTATTGAGGTTTCGGTAAAATAAAATATGAACCATCAATTTGCTCTATTTTGATCTAAAATTATTATTTTTTAGATTTTTTTTTCATGATGTACGAAAATTAAAATTTTGATTGTTAATTAAAATATTTAAAACGATATTGTTTTAAACATTTCAAGTTATTTATCGGTACTTAAAATTATTTTTGAAAAAGAAATTTGGTCTATTTTTAATACCATATATAGGTTTTATTTTGTTTAAAATGATTTTTTTAAAAGAATTTCAGCTAGTAATCAAAACTTTAATCATCGAACATAACCAAAATGATAAAATTTATCAAAAATACAATATTTTAAATTTAAAATAAATAAAATTGATAGTTAAAACTTTATTTTTTCATAATTTTAATAGTTTGAAAATAAAATATGTCATTAAATCGTAATAGGAATGATATAAATTAAAGAGACCGGACAAAATGTCTCCCCATTTCACACAACAACGAAAGTCCGACCTAACTAACAGCTTGCCTAGAAAGAAACTCATGATGCACCAAGAAACAAAACTAATCAATCAATCCTTGTAGTCTTAGAAGCTATATATTTAATCTCAAACTATATATTTGATCTCTATATTTAATTTTTTTTTAATAATTATACCCGTTGGTTATATTCATTTTTCTTTTCAACTGAATTAGATTATTTTTTTAACAGAAAAAATACTAAATTAAGAATGCCGGATATTGATCAAGGAACTACTTAATTATTTATAATACTATAGAAACTAATTAAATATTGTTGATTAAAACAAGGACTAAGTTATAATTAACTATTTCAAGATCACATAATCTTGCTTCAATTTCCCTATCGATTTCCCTCACACTTCAAAATTAGAGTAAATTATAATTAATCCATTTAGTTTTGAGAAATGAATTAATTAATCTCTTTTGTTTGAAAAAACTAATTATTTAATATATATATATATATGTAACTTAATCATTTTCACTTTTTTTAAATTTATTTTGATTGTGTTTATTTTAAAATTAGAAAAAAAGAAGAATTGATGAAAAAAGATAAAATTTTATAAAATAAAAGAATATTAAATTAAATATGATTAACGCTGATCAAATAAATTAAATAATTAATTCTTAAAACAAGAGGAATTAGTTGATTCATTTCTCAAACATTGGCTCCGTTTGTTTGACGGAAAATAACTTCCATAGGAAAATCATTCCTAAGGAAGCTATTTTTCAGAAAATTATTTTTCAAAAAAATATTTTTTGTCCTTTGGCATTCACATGAAAAAGCTGTTGGAAAATATATTTCAACGTTTGTTTGATATAGAAAATTAAAATACAAAAAGAATATGTGATTGTTACATCAACAAGTTTTGAGAAAACTTCAAAAATGCATATTCATAATTTTACAATATAAGATACATTTAAAAAAATTTAATAAATTTTCATAAATATTGATTCTAAATTTTTAATTTAAAAAAATAATGTATTTTTTTAACCGTCAAACCAATTCATCAAAATTACTTGGAACAAAATCAAGTCAATATTCACATATAAAAAAAAAAAAAAAATCTAAGTAATCTTAGCATTATTATTTTGGTAACTCAATTAAGAATTTTTTTTTTTGTTTAAAGAAATTGAACTGATAATTTAGTTTAAAAAATAATTTTATAAATTATTAGTTATCATTTGTAGATACTTATTCATTTGGTTTCAAAAAATTAATGTTGAAATAATTTATAATTAATTATTCACTAAAATTATTAATAAAATTTTACAACCGATTAAAATTATAAATTATTGATTTAGTTGCAAACCTTCTTTTAGGTTTTCGATAGTTTTTAACTATGTTAGGGTCGTCAAGCCTAACACTAGACGATTTTCAAAAATTTTGAAATTAATTAATTTGAAAACCTTAGCAACCGTTTCCTCTAGCTATGGCGTCCTAGGAAGCTAGCTGAAAGAAGGTGTCCCCAATGGGGGGACATCTCCTATAACAACCTTTCAACCTTCTCTCGTAACCATCTCCCATAAACTCAAATAAAGATACCATACCAATAGCTTTCAAGATTATGTCGAAACTCACAAACCTACAACCCAATTAAGTTACACATCAAAAACTTCACCCTAAGAATTTCCCTCCTCTACTTGCTCCGAACAAATGATGCTCGCCCAAATAACAAAGTCACCTCACCCCCCACCATCTTCATATGTAGCGACCATAATAAACAAAAAAGCGTTGGTGCATAACTTCCCCATCATCTTTGTTAAAAACAAGAATCGGTTATACTTTTATTCATCATTGGTATCGAAATATATACAAGTACAAGGAGAGATTTTAGGATCTATATTTGGCTATACAAGATGTGAGGCAAGAAATGAGTAAGACCCCTAAATTAAGGAATCACTGCAACTTGTAGTTTCTATATACGAGAGGTTCCGTTGACTCACGCCAACACTCCCCTTAAGTTGGTGCGAAGATATCTCGGACACCCAACTTGTCAAGTGGTCTTGGAATTTTCTACTCGGATACTACCTTGGTGAGTACATCCGCCAACTAGTCTTCCGATCTAACAAATGGAAGCCGAATGATTTTTTCTTCAAGGTTTTGCTTTATGAAGTGCCTATCCACTTCAACATGCTTTGTGTGATCGTGTTGAACTGGGTTGTGAGAAATATCAATAGCGAGCTTGTTGCCACAAAATAAATCTATTTTAGATCCTGGACAAAAACCCATCTCTCGTTAATAATTTTTGAAGCCAAAGAAGCTCACAGAGTCCTTTAGCCATACCCCTAAATTTGGCTTTAGCACTTGACAACGCCACTACCGATTGCTTTTTGCTCTTCCATGTAACCAAGTTTCCTCCCACGAAAGTGAAGTATCCCGAAGTTGATTTTCGATCTACGACATTCCCCGCCCAATTCGCATCCGCATAGCCCTCGACATTTAAATGGCCATTTTTAGTAAACAACAACCCTTTCTCGGGTGAACCCTTTAAGTAGTGAAGGATTCGAAGTACCGCATCCATATGACTTTCCTTTAGAGAGTGCATGAATTGACTTACTACGCTTATCGCATATGCAATGTCGGGGCGAGTGTGTGACAAGTAAATCGCTTCCCTACTAGCCTTTGGTATCTTCCTTTGTCAATTAGTACCCGATCCGAACATAATCCCGATCCATGGTTTTGAACAATTAGAGTATCTCGTCGGCTTGCAATCTAACGATCCCGTTTACGCCAACAAATCTAACATATATTTTCTTTGGGAAAGAAATATGCCTCATTTTGATTTGCCACTTCAATCCCTAAAAAGTATTTGAGTCCTCCCAAATCTTTCATTTCAAATTCAATTGACAATTGTCTTTAAAGTTTGGAGATTTCCTCAACATCATCTCTAGTGATAATCATGTCATCAACGTAAACTAGTAGGGCAATCACCTTCCCTTCTCGATGCTTTAGAAAGAGTGTGTGGTTAAAATTGCTTTGATGATAGCCATATTTCTTCATAGCAGAGCTGAATCGACCAAACCATGCTCGAGGTGATTGTTTCAACACATACGAGCTCTTTCTAATTTACACACATGCTTTGCTTCGTGGAGACAAGTGTAACTCGGTGGAATCTCCATGTAGACTTCTTCTTCAAGATCGCCCGGAGAAAGGCATTCTTCACGTCGAGTTGGTGTAATGGCTAGTTTAAGTTCACCGTCGAGGACGAGTAACACCCTAACAGTATTCAATTTTGCAACCGAGGAGAAAGTCTCCGAGTAATCTACACCATATGTTTACGTGAATCCCTTAGCCACAAGCCTTGCCTTGTACTCGTCAATCGATCCATAAGCTTTGTACTTTATAAAAAACACCTACTTACATCCCACAAGTTTCGTTCCTTTGGGTAATGGAATTAACTTCCGGGTTTTGTTCTTCTATAAAGCCTCTAGTTCCTCTTTAATTGCTTATACCCAATTCGGATAAGTCAAAGCTTCTTTAATATTGCTTGAGATGTGATGGGAGGATAACATTTGTGTAAACGTTTGGATGCTCTTCTATAGTCCCCGAGTGGACACGTAATTTGCAATTGGATATCTAGTCCTTCTTTCTTCCTCATCGGAGAGTATCTCTTGGGTGGTTTGCCACGATTTTGTCTAAACGGTAAAACATATCCGAAGCGCTAGAAACTTTCGAGTTGTTATTATGTGAATGAGTAATAATAGGGCTTACCTCGAGAATATTCTCGGTTGAAGGAGATACTTCGAGTACCGAGATGAGAGAAGGGGTCACTTGTGCTTCTTCATCGGGTTGGTGAACACTTAGTGTAGCACGCTCTTCACCTGGTAGGTGGTTCTTCTTCACCGGTAGGTAGTTCTTCTTTACTAGCATTGGCGGATAGTTCTTCTTCTTTATCAATTCTAATTCCACCTATTATAGTCTCCATTTCGAAGACCAACTCGACTCTTCAATCATAGTCTCCTCTGAAGAGCCGAGTTAGATACTCGTCTTTTGGAAAAAAACTCGCATTCAAGGAATGTAACATCCATAGAGGTATAGGTGCGTTTAGTGATAGGCTCAAAACACCTATACCCCTTTTGATGTACACCATAACCCAAAAACACACACCAAATAGCATATGGATCCAATTTGGTCCATTGGTTTTTATGCAAATGGACGAATGCAACACATCCAAACACTCGAGGAAGAAGCATGAGAATTGAAGGCAAAGATACATGAGTTAACAAGACCTATAATGGGGTCTTGAAACTCAACACTTTTGAAGGCATCCGAGTTCAATAAATAGACAAGCAGTAGCAACAACATCATCCCAATGGTGATTACGTACATTAGTGCCAAAAAGCGAGTGTTCGGGTAGTCTCTAAAATATGACGATTTTTCCTCTCCGCAACGCCATTCCGTTATGGAGTGTATGGGTATGATGTTTCATGAATTAGTCTATGTTATTGAAAATATACCTAAAATTTATTATTAACAAACTCCCTTCCATTATTTGAGCGAAGGACCTTTATCTCTACCGCAAATCGAGTCTTTACCATAGTATGAAATGCTTAAAAAATCGAGAATACCTCATCTTTAGTCTTCATCAAGTAAAGCCATATCATGTGTGTACAATCATCAACAAATATCACAAACCATCGACAACCGAAGAAGTAGTAATTGGGGAGGGTCCCCAAACATCGAGTGTATCAAGGAGAAAGGGACATTGTTTTTATTCAACTTGGTGGATAGCAAGTTCTCTCGATTCTTTGCCAAAATACATGCTTCACATCTCAAATTATCACTCTCTAAATGAGAAAAGAAATCTGGAAATAAATGCCGTAAATAACCAAATGAAGGGTGTCTTAGACAACGATGCCAAAGCTATATTTGTGCTTCTCTCGCTATCGACGTTACCGGCTTGACCAAAATTAAAGTCATCCATGTAATATAACTCTCCTCTCTTAGTACCATGTCCAATTATCTCTTTACCGAGAATATCCCGAATAAGATAAAATTTTGGGTACATTAGTATCACACAATTCAACTCATCGATAATTTGACTCACCGACATCAATTTATTCGATAAAGATGGAACCAAGAGAGTATGAGATAAGGATAGTGATGGTGATATTGATACGGTTCTAGCTCTAGTGATCGGATGCGCAACTTCATTCGAATTAGTAATACATGCTCGTCGTGGTGGTGTCACTTTGGAGAAATCACTAGAGTCAAAGGTCATATGATCCGTAGCATCGGAGTCGATAATCCAATCACCATCATTTGAAGCATTAGAGGTATAAAGGGCTTGGCTATATTTAGCTCCATCATTCTCTATAGTAGAAGAATCTGTGATCGAAATAAAGGATAGTTGAGGCTCTACGGTGGCAACAAGCAACACGACCCATGTTTCTAGTTGTACTAGCGATATCTTGCTTCTTTGTGGCTTGTAATTCATGTCACCAATCTGGATACCCATGTAGTTTAAAACAAGTATCTCGAGTGTGCTTTGTGTTACCGCAATGGGTAAATTTCCCTCCTTCGATTGGCCCTTGGATTTGGTCGAAGGTCCACTCCTCATTAGTTACGACCGACTTGATCTAAATCCTCTAGTAGCCATGACAAGCACCATTAGAAAAAGTTTCCATTCCGGATGCCATAACTCGTTTGACGAGTATCTTCTCTTCTTACATATGCATAAGCCCGCTCAATAGCAGGGAATGGCTTTAATTAGAGAATGTCACTTCTAATGTTGTGAAGTCCGTCATCTAGTCCATTTAGGAAGATATAAACTCTTTCTTCTTGGAGAAGAGAGTTATATTTTTGTATATCGACAAGACACTCCATTGGGTTTGGATGGCGAAAGTCAATTTCTCGCCATAGCCCTTGTAGATCGTTGTAGTATTTCTCGAGGAACCCATCGTCTTGTCGCATTCGAGATACACGTCGTCGAAGATCATAAACCCGTGATGAGTCGGATCCATTAAAAAATATAGTAGCAATGGAGTCCCAAACCTCGTTTGGTTGTAGAAAATCGAATGAAATTCACAATCAAGGTGGGTTCCATTGAGTTAATCAACCATCCTTTCACAATGGCATTCTCTCGTTCGCCATTTACGAAAAAATGGGTCTATTTCGAGTGGCTATGGGAGGTCTCCATTGATATATCCCGGCTTGTCTTTGCCTAAGATATACATCTCGATGACCCGGGACCACAAGGCATAGTTAGAGCCATTCAATTTGATGTTTATTGGTACCGTAGTGGAATCGGTAATAGAAGAGGTCCGGGTTTGTGACATAACTTCTAAAATCTTGGTTGTCAAATCATCAAGTAGGGATTCAGTTGAGGTGTTTGGTGGTGGTGTTATTTTTGTATTATCATCCATGGTTTTTCCGTAGTTTGAGTTCCTTTTTCAAGTCAAATCACGAGAACCCAAGACTACTTTGATACCGTGTTAAACACAACAATCGGTTCTACTTTTATTCATCATTGGTATCGAAATATATACAAGTACAAAGAGAGATTTTAGGATCTATATTTGGCTATACAAGATGTGAGGCAAGAAATGAGTAAGACCCTTAAATTAAGGAATCATTACAGCTCGTAGTTTCTATATACGGAGGTTCTGACGACTCACGCAACAATCTTCATAGCTCCGAAGATTCCATCGAATACGAGGGAGAGCTCGCGGTTACATTTACAAAGGAGGATTTGCAGCAGTCAAAACGGGTTTTTCAATACTCTCTTGTGGTAAAATTCTCGAGAGGACATCCACCTATCAACACCATTGTAACAACAATACAACAACATCGGGGTTTAACCGAAAATCCAATGGTAGGTCCGATGGATGCTAGGCATGTTCGATCAAACTATTTTTGGCTGAAGATTTTACAAAAGCATGGTCCATTGAATCTAGGATAATAGATAATATGAGGTTTCGGTTGTTCAAGTGGGATACAAATTTCAACACTAAGTATGAATCAAAGAAATCTGCAATATACATTGATTTTTCTATTGAAGTTGTTTTTTGTTGAAATATATTTTTTAATAATTTTTTTATTTAATTATCAAACAATAAAAAATATTTTTTAAAAGATAATTTTTTAAAAATAAATTTCTCAAAAATTGATTTTTCTATAAAAATTATTTTTCATCAAACAAACGAATAGAGCCTAATGGACTAGTTTATAATTGACTCGTCAAAAGTTCAAAACTAACCCATTCTCTTTCTTATGCCAAAACTGCCCCTAAATAAGCTTTAAAATTCCATTCCTATCCCTAAGCACCACGATGCATTTTTACCCTTTTCTGTCCATCCCACATCTATCCTTCCTTCCCTCACTCACTCTTTCTCTCCCTCTCCCCAAAATTCAGACGCAAAAATCAAAATAAAAATCACTCTCAGTCTGTATTTTCAATTTTGAATTGGGGATAGTTGCACATGGTAAACTTCAAGTTGGTTGCACAAACCCTACCCTCAATTTCGATACAAATAATCTACGATGGACGCGAATCCTGTTGTGTTCGACATCAGCTCAGACGACGAGCCGGCAATTGAAGACCCCAAAGAGTTCAACGATGATTGCAATTGGTTGACGGAGCTTTTAAGGACTGTCGAGAAGGAAAAGGACGATTCTGATGAGGTTGTGGTTGTCGCCGAGTATAATCCGCCTAAGCCCAAGTCTAAGTCAAAGTCATCGAATCAGGTGGCGGATATTAAATTTGTTCCCGATGATTATGATGATGATTGTGTTTTGTTGGATGGTGATCCTGATAAGTCGGTTGCTGCTGACGTCAGCGAGTCTGAGACGGGTAGTGACGACGGTGATGATGTTCTTGTTGTTGGAGAAAAAGGCCAGGTAGATACCAATTTTACTTTTGTTTTGTTTTGTTTTGTTTTTTTTTTTTAAATTAACTTGTATTAGATAAAATCAACTTTAGTGAATTTAGAGATGTGGGTTTGTCTTCTTCTTCTTTTTTATTTTTCGTTCAGGTTTCTGTGTGTTTGAAAGAATTGTGTAATTATGTGTAGATATTTGCTGTTATTTTTTGTGTTCCAGCAATGTGCAACTGGAGCATGAAAAATTGAATATGAAAGTGCACCCGCCCATTGTACTATCAGGTTTTATGACTATTTGTTGGTTTTTATGACTGTTTGTGCGCTGTTCATGTAAATGCCGAGACGATTATAATTGAGTTTGAAGGGAAGGATTAGGGCTGGCTTCATCAAAGGGAAATGAAAGATAAGGAACTAAAATACATGAGCTATGGTGAAAGCCTTTCAAGCTGGTCTTGAGGTGGAACTGGGAAGGGGAAGGAAACTTCTAAACTGACTGTTAGGGGCCAATTTACCGTTATTTAATGTGAGAAGTTGTTTAATTGATAATAATAAATTTCTTAATGCTTGATCCGTTTGGTTTTAGTTTAGAACTTACTCTTGTATCCTTGGTTGATGTTGTTCATGATATTCACTTCTGTGTCTCATGCAAGTTGTGTGAATAATTTAGGGGATTGATAGGAAGCTACATCCGTTTGTTTGGGTTCCCCCCATTCCACGATCATTTTTAACATGTGGGAGGTTTGTTGACAGGTTTGCAAAGCAACCCTTGGTGGGTGTCTTTATATTCTGTCTGTTGCTCTTCTATTTCTAAGCCTGCCTTATTCTTGGAGTCGTGATTTGATGTAAGACAATCAATTTAACAAGAGGAATTATTCTTCATGTGAACTGCTCTATGATTAGTTCTTATTGTTAGCATCTGAGAAAGTAATTGGAATTTCTTATACTGCACATGTGTGATCCTGCTGGCTTCGCATCTAGCATTAGAACTGTGCTGCACACTTATAAACGGAGTTTTAAAGCCTGCAATTTATGTTAAGTTAGTTTGCTTTCATTCACTGAAAACGATATATAATAAATAAAGAATTGGGCTCGCTTCTGCACATACACAAAATAAGTAATTATGAATCTTAAATGCTTAGACAAAGAAGAGCTTTTTGGCTATCAGATTACTGTGACTATAAATTAGAACTCTCAGAACATAGATAACCTCAAGTTTGGACTCAATGGTGGAAATCTGGTTCCATAACATTCAAATTAGAAACTACCAAAATGAAGACTTGTAAATAAAGAGAACTTAAATACTATGAATTCGATTTCTTCCTCGTAATTAAATGTAAAAATATGGCTTAAATCTGCCTATATGGACTTTGAACTCCTTAGCAGGTCTCATCTACTTCAGAGAAGAACTCTAAAGTTATTTACATTGCTGCATAATCCTTTGCTTTTCAGTATTTTCTGTTAAACCGTCAAATCTGTCTTGATAGGAAGCTGTTGGTATCATGTTTCTGATGCTTATGTTCCTCGTATTTATTCTTTTTTTTTTTTTTTTGTGTGTTTTTTCATGTTGCAGATTGCATGTAGAGACTACCCTCATCCAAGACATCTTTGTGTTGAATTTCCTTTTGGTTCTACTCCACATGAAACACATTGTCACCTGGTAAGGTTGCTATTCTAAACTTTGCTATGTAAATGCCTAACATCAACTCTCTATAGTCAATACTTACATTCTGCTATTCTGATTTCTGTGTTTCCTGACATGCAGTGCCACTGCTACGTTTGTGACTCACTTGCACCATGTGGGCACTGGGGTACAGGTGTATCTACTATTGACCATTGTCATGCCACTGATAAGACAGAGATGTGGAAAACTCAGCGGGAAATTTATAGAATAGGGAAAGATGCTCCAATACCAGTTTCAAGGAAACCTGATACTCCTGTTCCGATGGCTTTGCCTCGACTTAACCAAGTAGGGCCTCTAGATATTGTACAGTTGATAGCCAATCCAATACCACAGAATCAATCCTTGACACACAATCCAAAACCACAGAGTCAGGTTTCCAGGATGCCTGTGATCCGTCCTTGCTCTTCCTACACCATGCCGGGCATCCCAAATATCATCAGACAGAGTAGAAGCCGTCAATCAGGATATGTTCAGGGCAGAAATAGACTCCTACATCGCACAGTTTCACAACAAGCACTTGGTATACGTAATGATGTTCACCGGGATAAACGTCCTAGTACTTTAGGTCAGCGATTTGTCTCTTCTAATACCATGTTTGAAAGTCCGGGACTTGTTGGGAATGCTTTGGCTGTAAACCAGCCCACACGTGGATCATTGAACATGAACTGTGCTCCTGCTTTGGGATATGGAAGGAATGTTGCTCCACTGCCTACATCAAAGGAAAATCCATCCAGTTTGCATTATGTTTTACCCAATGCAAATTTTGAATCACATACATATCAGAGCTCCTCCCAGCCCAACATGTGCAGTGTTGTTGTAAATACAGTGCCTTCGAGACCCAATGCATGCAGTCAACCTATGCGGCAGTCAAATGATGACCAGAGTCTTTTTCAGCTGGGGAATCAAGGTCAAAACGTTGCAGATTTAAGTTTCCCTGATTTTGACTTTTGTCGAGTTAACAACTCAAGTCAAAGTGATCAGGAAGCTTCTGTTGAAAGTATTTTTCATGGCACGGTGTCCAATAATGAGCCATCAACTGTTAAGCAGTTAAGTTCTCAGTTCGCTGCAATTGAAAGTGCTCAATTCCACTACAAGGATGATGAGTTTGATGATAGCTTTTTTTTAAACCAAGCTGTTCCAGTGGTTTTAGAAGGTTTTATGCCTCATGATCTGAATGGCTTTTCTCCCGAACCTCCTGCAATTGACTCGGGTATGCTTTATTTGGACGAAAACTTTTGGAATGATCCAACACATGTTTAGCCATGGTCTGTGCTTGTGCTTAAGCAAAGAAGTACAGATGATTGTTGCTGCCAATGTTTCACAAATTAAACATCATAGCTATTTATGTTTAAGCTGAGGGTGTAGGATTGTTTCAGACAAAATGTGTACAAAGCTCATGCAACAAATGATGCTTTTCAGAGGCTGGCTGTTACGTGTTCCTGTATTTATGAATCCCAAATGTTGGATGAACTGTGCAAATTTTCTCGGTCTTTTGCCCAGGAACCTTTTATGTTGGATTGCGTCATTCCCAACTACCCATATACTGCCATTCACGCAAGTCTAAGGTCTGGTTTATGTTTCTTTGGTAGGCTATATGTAGAATGCTGTGAGCCTGGATGTTGCAGTGTGATGAATGGTTGTCCATCCTCTTGGCTATTGGGAGCAAACGATCCAAATACAGGACCTGTTAATACAGGTCCGGTTGGGTCATGTGACTGTGTTTGAGCACAGCTTGGTCAAGTATCAGTCTGTTGAGATGTAGAAATCATCTTTTATTTCCATAACCTGGTAAAATAGTGGAGTAATCTGATAGCCAATTCTCGCAGCACCAAAGAATATTGCTCAAGCGTCAGCATCCAGAAACAAGAGAGAGAGCAAGTATAATGAATCAGGTAAGTTAAGTGCTGGATGGTGCATCTCTTCTCCTTATTTGCTCTGTGTGGTGGATCGTGTTGACGGAGCGGATTCCATGTTAGCCAGTGCTCCATCTCAGGTGATGTAATCCGATTTTGTAGTCTTGATTTCGATGCATTTCGCAATCAGCACGGAAGAGCTGTCCAATTAAAGAATTGTTGTGGTGGATGAACTGCCTATTCAGTCCAGGCATCTCTATTTAATCCCAAGCTTGGAGGGAGAAACTGTTGATCCTGATGGGGTATTGATTATCTCTGCTAGAGTTGAGCGTTCTGGTTATCAATTGTTTTATGGTTGGTTCCATATTTTGCCGGCGTGAGAATCTGAACCAACATTTTTTAAAACAATATGGTCGGTCGTCATGAGGGCGTGACAAGCAAAGAAAGAAGCCATGGACAACTAACTTCCTGACTCTCTCTCTCTCTCTCTCTCTTCAAACAAAACCATAATTAATCAATAATGATGATGATTTTATTAAATTCATAAACGAATTCAGTAAATAATGGGCTGGGCCTAGCTCCTGTTAAATTGCTCGCCCAAGATATTCATATGTTGTTGCTCAGCCAGCCAGCCTGCCTGCCTGCCGAAAAGATTTATCTTTTCATAATCATAGATAGATTTTAACCGCATTTAACATTAATATTCTTTAAAAAAAAAAAAAAAGTGGTTTTTCTTTAAAGTTACCATAACTTTGGTCAAGTTTTATTTATTTATTTTATAACTAATGGGCATATTTGGAATCCAGTGAAACAATTTTTACTAATTTCGTGTTCTGAGTTTGTTTGTTTGCAATTGCAATCGTCCATTAAACTGTGGATACCAAAAATAGTTTTAATTTTAATTACAGACTATTTATTTATTTTACCTATTTTGAAGAGAGCCTTTAAAACCATTTTCCAAGTTTCCAGACAACCCTCAATTCGCTGCCCCTGTGCGTGTGTACAGAAGAGAAGTCCAAAGGCAGGAAGGACTCCATAGACGAACAAAGAGTTCTTTCTCTGACTTAAAGCTTAAACAGACGGCTACGCTAGCTCTCCTTCTACTCGTCAGTAGCCAGTACTTGCTCCTCTCTCTCTCTCTCTCTCTCTCTCTCTCTGTCTTTTGGGGTCGCAAACAGCAATAAGGGAAATGGCGCTATGGATGGAAGCAGGGTCGGAACCCAAAACACAGAGCGAGATTGCTGACCTTCAAGCTATCTCCGCTCTTAAACACTCTACTGCTCTGGAACTCAAGGTACTAATTAATTATTTCTTTTTTCAAGAATGACTATTTTTATTTCTTGCTTTTTCAATTTTTTTTTTTTTTTTTTTTTTGCAGGAGAAAGGTAATGAGTATGTCAAGATGGGCAAAAGGCATTATTCTGATGCTATCGATTGCTACACGAGGGCGATAAATCAGAAAGCTCTTAGTGATTCTGAGAACTCAATCGTTTTTTCAAATAGAGCCCTTGTTAATCTACTGCTGGGAAATTATAGGCGTGCTCTTACAGATTCTCAGGAAGCAATTAAGCTTTGTCCAACCAATGTTAAGGTAGTTTTATAATATATATATAGATATTCCCTTAGATTGGTTTATATTGTTTTGATGTTTTGGTTTGCTGTGAATCATTTGATTTTTTAACTAGGCACTGTATCGAGCTGCCAAGGCATCCCTGTCATTGAATTTGTGTGTCGAGGCAAAATCTTATTGTGAAAATGGACTTGAGCAAGACCCAAATAACGAAGAACTGAAAAAACTTGCCAGGCAGATAAATTTACTGAAGATGGAACAGGATAAGCGTGACGCTGAAGTTTCAAAGGCTGTGTTAGAGGCTAAGGTTCAATACTTGGTTTTAGAATGGTAAGCTGTAGTTGATAGGGATGTATAGGCTATCTAACAATTTTCTTTACTTCAACTGTTTTCAGGACCTACTTTCTGCAATTGAAGATAGGGGGTTGAAGATTGGGAAGGCAATGTTTCAAGAACTTATTGGATTGAGGAAACCAGTACTTGATAAAAATAAAATTCTTCACTGGCCAGTTCTTCTTTTGTATGCAGAGGTTATGTCCAGTGACTTCATTGAAGGCTTCTGTGAAACAGACATGTTTTCAGCTCATCTTGACATGATATCCATTTTACTAGAATTCTTGTTTTTATTACCATAATTCCTATTACTTTTGCATTTGATGTGTCATACCCTTAGATTTTTTATTTTATTTTATTTATTATTTTTTTTTGCACCATGTGATATCCTTAGCTTTAAAAACATGTTCTCCGAAAGTTCTCCACCATTGCCATGGGATACAGAAAACAATTATACTCGTGAAGCTGTTGAATTATACTATGAGGTACGCTATTGCAAGTCATTGCAGAACTAACAAATTATTTCATTTGTTCTTTTATTTAACCTATCAAAGACTTAATCGTGATTCTCTTTCCATTGTGCTGTACGCAGCATAATCTCATGTGATAAGGCTACTAATATTGCATTTTTATTGTGTGTGTGTGTGTGTGTGTGTATTTTGAGATAAAGGCTACTTATATTTTTAAAATGCTAGGTTATCGTTTTAAGTATGGTGTACCTCTTAGGCGTTTTGAGTGCTACATACTCATTATTTTGAAGTTATGTCCAAATCATAATGATTTTGAGAACATTATCTGTCTGAAAATTCATATACATCTGACAGTGCTATTATTTTCTAGCAGTGGGTTGTTGCTTTGGCGATGGTTCTTTACTCCATTTCTAATTACTGCTCGTCATTCATCAGGCTGGTTCTGGAGTTCCTTTTTCCAAGAAAAAAATGTTTCATTATCTACTAGAAGGGACTGCAGGTGGCAATGTGGAAAATGTTGATATAGAGAAGGATGCCGTTGAAAGCCATGGTGCAGGTATTAATTTTTCTCATATTCCCTTACCAAAAAGGTCCTTTTCAAGCAAGTTTTGCCACTTCATTGGTTCGCCTTTGCAAGTAGGGAGATTGTGGCAACTTTATAACTGCTGTATTTTGTTGTTTGCTATTCCTTCTTACTAATCAGTTATATGCATGTTGTAGACTAATAACTTTTGGTATACCCAAACTGGGGTCTTCAGTTCCTTTTGTCTTTGATAGATAGTATGTCCTATGTTAAGCACATGGCACGTGTTCTTTAGTTTCCAACATTCCTTGGTTAAAAAAAGAAAAAAAAACAATGGGGGTATTTCCTAATAATCATAACCACTGAACTTAACGGAAGGATGACATATCAACAAATTTGATGTTGTCACCAATGTTTGCCAAATAAGAATAATTTCGTTAAAAGCATGCTAGTCAAGTGCAATAGGTTGACCCTTTTTAACAGATTTTGCCCTAACCATTTTATTCGAGGAATTAAGGAATAGTTTTCTTTATAAACATGATTATGAGCTAAGGAACGGTGCCTTGAACTGTGATGATAGTAAGTTATTCGATGGATCTGATTCACCGAGGCTTTTGTTCTCTAATTTCAGGTTTTCCTTCCCTTGAAACATGCTTATTTGGTTAAGACTGGTAATATAGGTTGACGTGTCAGTATTTAACCGATTTGGTCAACATTCATGATTGTTTGGTAACAAAACTTGAGATGGTTGAAATCAAAGAATTTGTGCCATATAATCAAAGAACATGTGCTATATACTTACCAGAGGAAGGCCTACTGACTGGCAAGGACCAAAAACTACTAGGCACTAGTTAGCTGCTGGTCTTGGTGCAAGTCATGTTTCTTTTGACCATTTATGTTGCTTCAACATGGATTGTTTTATATATTACCCAGGTTTATTTATCTAAACTTCTTCTGTTGACATTTCCAGGAAAGGGCTCTTCAAAATGGGTAAAAGTAAATGAAAAGAGAATGCTTACTGATGTTCTGAAAGAATCTGACTTCATTATCTCAGGGATCCCAGGTCTGGCCTATAGGTTCTTGACAAATTTTTGTGCATAAGTGCAAGGTGCAGTTATCTCGTTTCCATTTCATTTTATTTCTCGTTTTGTCTAATTAACTCCATTCAATTGTGATATGTGCAGTTTTTTATGTCGTTTCAAAGCGCTCCAGCTTTTATATAGAGTTCAAAGCTGGCAAATGGGCTCTTCCACCATGAGTAGCTTGTCTCTTGACGATGACTAGTGACACGTGTTTTTGAAGGTTGTTGGCAGCCACTAATTAGTCAAAGCAAACAGCCCTGATGGCACCTTAGTAGCAGCCACAATTTCGTTGATCGGGTTTATAAATGTAAACCAACCATAGTTGTATTATTAGTAGGCCCTCCCCCAAATGGGTGTCATGTCATGTCAGGTCATGTATCAACTGTTCAGGCTTTATCATGCCATTAAAGAAATTAGAGTCCGATAGATATAATGCGGCCCTTTTAGCCCAACTTTGCCAAGTGATGAGCTGCACTGCTGTTTGTTACAACTGACACCATTAACAAGTGGAAAAAAAAAAATTGAAATTTGTTGCTTTTATGGCATTTTGTACCCCGTCCAATTTTGTTAAGAAATCTAACGGTGGCAAATCAGCCAATCAGGCATTATTTCCCGTACTTAATGTCCATAATCATAGAAGCTAGAGCCTCCCTTGGCGGATGGAATTTGTACTCCTTATTCCACGTACGAATAAAGGGAAATCAGTTACAAAGTCCGAGGCTGATAGTATTTGTGCCGCGATGGTATTCTATTCGACCCTCGGCCCTGGGATCTCTTTAGAATCTCCTTCGACCCAGGAATCTCTCTCTTTCCTTTATAAAGCGAACCCCAGATCTTCCCTTCCACACGCGCAGTCATTATTTTTTCCCTACAATGGCAGCCCTCACTTGCTCTGCCTCTGACCTCCACTCTTTGCTAGGTGGTGCTGCCAATGCCACGGCTGCTGCTGAGTACATTTGCAGCCGCTTTGTTGCTGTTTCAAACCATTTTGTTGACACAACCTATGCTGTTGACAACACTTACCTTCTTTTCTCTGCCTACCTTGTCTTTGCCATGCAACTTGGTTTTGCCATGTTGTGTGCAGGGTCTGTACGTGCAAAAAACACCATGAACATTATGCTAACCAACATTCTTGACGCTGCCACTGGTAGCCTTTTTTATTACCTCTTTGGTTTTGCCTTTGCCTTCGGTGGTCCTTCCAATGGATTCATTGGCAAGCAGTTCTTAGGCCTTGCAAAGTTTCCTTCACCTTCTTTCGACTATGGCTACTTCCTTTATCAGTGGGCTTTTGCCATTGCAGCTGCTGGGATCACTAGTGGATCCATCGCTGAGAGAACCCAATTTGTTGCGTATTTGATATACTCTTCATTCTTGACTGGTTTGGTTTACCCTATTGTCTCTCATTGGTTCTGGTCAGCTGATGGTTGGGCTAGTGCTGGTAGAGCTGATGGTAATCTTTTATTTGGATCCGGGGTCATTGATTTTGCTGGTTCTGGTGTTGTTCATATGGTTGGAGGGATTGCTGGACTCTGGGGTGCCCTCATTGAAGGCCCCCGGATGGGCCGATTCGACCACGAAGGCAAGGCGATGGCTCTTCGAGGACATAGTGGTACACTGGTTGTTTTGGGCACGTTCCTATTGTGGTTTGGCTGGTATGGTTTCAATCCAGGTTCATTTCTCAGCATCTTGAAGGCTTATGGAGATGTCGGTTCTTATTATGGCCAATGGAGTGCTATTGGTAGAACAGCGGTGACAACCACACTTGCAGGAAGCTCTGCTGCACTAACCACTCTCTTTGGTAAACGCATGCTTGCTGGCCACTGGAATGTCACTGATGTTTGCAATGGTTTGCTGGGCGGTTTTGCAGCAATTACCTCAGGCTGCTCGGTCGTAGACCCATGGGCAGCCATCGTTTGCGGTTTTATTGCAGCTTGGGTCCTAATTGGCTGCAACAAGGTGGCAGAGAAATTCCAATATGATGATCCTTTGGAGGCAGCACAACTTCATGGAGGGTGTGGTGCGTGGGGTATTATCTTCACTGCATTGTTTGCCAAGGAAACATACGTCAATGAGATTTATGGTGGGAAACCAGGGAGGCCATATGGACTGCTGATGGGAGGTGGTGGGAGGCTCTTGGCAGCGCACATGGTCCAGATATTGGTGATCGCAGGATGGGTGAGCGTGACGATGGGGACATTGTTCTGGATTCTGCACAAATTCAAGCTCCTGAGAATCTCGGCAGATGAGGAGATGGCAGGAATGGATTTGACAAGCCATGGTGGATTGGCGTATGCATATTATGATGAACATGACGATGCAATGCAAAAAAAATAATTTATGATGACAAAGGTGGATGCCTCTGTTGTTTGATTTAGTTTCAGGAACTGCATTTGACGTTTAGTCTTAATTTGTTTACCTATTTCGTTGTCTCAGTCTGTACAGTTTAAAGCCTAGGAACCAATGAAATAAATCTTTTTAAGGAATCTGGATGGTTCCTTTGGGAAGATCATTGTATTTGCAATCTTAAATCTGAATTTCATTGTTTAAATTTATTTCTTTCTAAGATGGCTTCTGCTTTAAATTATGGAAGTCCATCAATGGTCTTCCCCAGAAACTATTAATCGTAAATTTGATGTAAAGAGCAAATTATATTTTTACCATCTTTTCAATGATAATTACATCAATTTGCTCAACATTTCTGCTGCAGGGGGATTTTTGGAAAAGATTTCCCACAACAACAAGTATAAATTAGCAATCTCCAAAGAAGCATTTTACGTACTGAAATAATAGCAAAGCATATAGATGAAAAGGACAGCAACTCAATCCTTGCTAACTTCATTCAAAATATATCTTAATTGTACAAAGGAATCGGAATGCTGGTTAGCGTTTCAACTTCTAACAAACTAGTAATATTCTTTTAACACATACCTAATTCCATATCTAGAAAGACACAAGACAAATGTGTGTGCAATTGTGATCGGCGGCTTCACAGTTCCCATCACTAATGTCATCTTCCTCAGGCAACACCTAGCTGCTTTTTAATTTCTTCTTCATTATCATTATACTCATAAGCAAGCCCACCATGGCTCGTCAAGTCCATTCCTGCCATCTCTTCTTCTGCTGTGATCCTCAAAAGCTTCAACTTATGCAGAAAAAAAAACACTGTCCCCATAGTGACGCTCACCCAAGCCACAATCACCAATATCTGGACAATATGAGCAGCTAAGAGCCTAGCGCCACCTCCCATGAACAATCCATAAGGCCTCCCTGGTTGGCCTGGATAAACCTCATTCACATAGGCCTCCTTTGCAAACAATGCAGTAAATATAATCCCCCAAGATCCACAGCCTCCATGAAGCTGTGCTGCCTCCAAAGGATCATCGTAATGGAACTTCTCAGCCAGCTTGTTGCACCCAATAAGAACCCAAGCAGCTACAAAACCGCAAAGAACTGCCGCCCATGGGTCGACAACAGAGCACCCACCAGTTATGGCAGCAAACCCGCCAAGCAAGCCATTGCAAACATCAGTGACATTCCAGTGACCAACCAACAGCCTCTTGCTAAAGAGAGTGGTCAATGCAGCCGTGCTACCTGCTAGAGTTGTGGTCACCGCTGTCCTCCCAACAGCGCTCCATTGTCCATAATAGGACCCACTTTCACCATAAGCTTTCAAGATGTTGATAAATGAACCAGGATTGAATCCATACCAACCAAACCACAACAAGAAAGTGCCTAAAACAACCAATGTGGCACTGTGTCCACGTAGAGAAACAGCACGACCAGAATGGTCAAACCGGCCAATACGGGGACCTTCAATGATTGCACCCCACAAACCAGCAATGGCACCAACCAAATGGACAACACCAGATCCAGCAAAATCGATAACCCCAGTACCAAACAGGAGATTTTCTGCTCTTGCAGGGCTAGCCCAGCCATCAGCAGACCAGAACCAATGTGAAACAATGGGATAAACCAAACCAGTCAAGAAAGAGGAATATACCAAATAAGCAATAAACTGAGTTCTTTCTGCTATTGAACCACTTGTGATTCCTGCTGCTGCTATAGCAAAAGCCCATTGATAGAGAAAGTAACCGTAATCAAACGATGATGACGGGAACTCGCTAAGGCCAAAGAAGTGTCGGCCGATGAATCCATTTGATGGTGTGCCAAATGCAAGAGCAAAACCAAAGATATAGTAAAAAAGACCCCCGGTTGCAGCGTCAAGAACATTTGTTAGCATGATGTTCATTGTGTTTTTCGCTCGGACAGAACCAGCACAGAGCATGGCGAACCCGAGCTGCATTGCGAAGACCAAGTATGCAGAAAAGAGAAGGTAGGTATTATCCAATGCATAGCCTGTATCTACGAATTTGTTGGAGATGGCCTCAAAGCGGCCACAAATGAATTCTGCAGCAGCGGTGGCATTGGCAGCATCGCCCAGGAGGGGGTAGAGGTCAGAAGCCGAGCATGATAGGGGCGATGATGCCATAGCGGGTTGATGGTGGGATGGGACTATGGGAGGTTAATAAAGAAATGTCTTAGTGCTTGTGTCACAAGGTAGGCTGATGGTGGGGTTGGTGACTTATAGGGATGGAATATAGGCAATCAAGAGATTCATTTTTCTAATTCTGGGGATTTGCTGTTTATAGTATCTTAAGATTCTTGGCAAACCATGGAATCAAGTGGCAATTTATAGGCCATTGACATGCAGATTTCAAGCCGGATTTATGGCTGTTGAATCTCATTGGAGTCTTTGTTTTACGATGGTCAAAGTTACTATATATACAAAAGGCTCTATTTTTGGTTCAGACAAAACATAAAGGCATTCGATGGATCCTCTGCTCAGGTTTCGTGCCAGCGAGTAATTATAATTACTCCCTCTATTTTCAATAAATGAATTAATAAGTTCTTTTGTGTCAAAAACTAATTATTTAATCCCTTAACAAGGGTTGATCACTCTTAATTTAATATTACTTTATTTACAAAAATATAATATTTTCTCATCAATAATTCTCTCTTTTTCTCCTCTTTCTATTTTTAAAACAAAAAGTCAAAGTAAATTAAAAAAGAGGGAAAAGATTAAATACAAGAAAATTTTAAAAATATGAGAATTAAATAACTAGTTTTTAAAACAAATAAACTAGTTATTTCGTTTTTTGAAACTAGGGTGACCAATTTATAATTTACTCCATGCCAGCAATATTACCATTGTGAATGAAAGAATCATTTCCTTTTAAAAAAATAATAATAATAAGGAAAATTAAGGAACATAATTATATTTATCTTTTACATTTTTTGAAAACTGAATCGTTGCACCATATAAATATAAATATTCGTTTTCTCATCTGGCTTTTCCTTAATTGCAGGATTACTAGTTGGGGATGATCTTCGATTTCACAAATGAATCTTGGAACATTGAATCCTAATTCATTCATTTTATATGGGAAATGAATATGTGCAGATGGGATATCCGCTCATGTCGACACACAAGACAATCTAATTTTAATTGGCATTTTCGGTTTCAGAGTCAGTGGTAAAGCAACTTACTAATTGCAAATACAGTTCACCCTGATTCTAATCTTAATTGACATTTTCGGTTTCACAATCAGCCATACATGAACTTACTGATTATTGCAAATACAGTCCATTGCCACCATAAATCTACGCAGGGGACAAAGTACATAAACTCCTATTCCCTCTAAACAGGCAACCCCAGCCCTGCACTGAACCCTTACCTGAGATCAGACAAAAGTTTCGAGCTGCCCTAAACTGAAATGAATCTACATTTTACATGGATGGATGGTTTTCTGCGGTTGGAGGATGGCGGGATGACATTCTGAAGATAACCGTGCAGCTTGGATCTTGCTCTTCTTTCACTCATCCATAATCTTGAGTTACAAAGTGTCGCAAATCAATTCCAAATTTACGCAATCTCTCACAAAATGCTTAATTTCCGAGTGCTATGGGATGATTGGAAAATTGATGCTGTAATTAGCATCATTGGCACCAAACCTCTGTCAATGAAGTTGGTGCTAGATGCCGGTGGATATCAGCCATCAACTAAAATGAACAATTAATGCACAACGTATCACTTCCTGGCAGCCAAATCTATTTGCCATGGAAAAGCAGTCCTCAATCGGAGAATTGAATAGATTTGGATGTCATCTAAAAAGTTTCAGATTAACACACAGATGCTTCCATAATTATCATTATGACAGCGCAATACGCAACACAACTATTCATTAACACAAGCGTATCCTCGTTCATGCAAACCTCAATTCCATCAACCTTTCAACAGGTCAAAGCACCAACTTATAAGTGCGTTGGTGCTTTGGGTACACCATTCACACAATTCTTATTCCATACATAAAATCCTTGCACCTGAAAAGTTTTTTCTTTTCCATTCAACCGAAAGGAAAGAAAAAAAGGTGACAAAACATCACATTTCCTAGGCAGGCTTGAAACATAACCTTAGACTTGCATATCAAGCACACAACGGAGGCAGCTACCTTCATGCAGCAGATCAAATGCCTCATTCATCTCCCCGAGAGTCAGATTATGGGTGATGTACTCATCGATCTTAATTTCCTGTAATACAAGTAGAGTGGATAGAATAGCTCAGCATCCTGTTTAGCTCAAACTTTGATGCACAAAGAAATATACATATACATAATATGCTCAAACCTTTTTCATGTACTTGTCTACGAGCAAAGGCACATGTGAACGGCTCTTAAAACCACCAAAAGCTGTTCCTTTCCAAACACGGCCAGTCACCAACTGGAAAGGACGAGTGCTTATCTCCTGACCAGATGCTGCAACACCCACGATAACCGAGGTTCCCCAGCCCTAAAAATTTCAGGCATATCACAAATGATATCTAGATAAATACATGGTTTCTGCCACCAATTCATGCATTACTTACCTTATGACAGCACTCCAAAGCAGACCTCATTACAGAAACATTTCCGATACACTCAAAACTATAGTCAACACCACCATCAGTGAGGTCAATGAGAACCTCCTGAATTGGTTTATCGTGGTCCTTTGGATTCACAAATTCAGTAACTCCAAAATCCTTTGCTGTTGCATTACAATTTACAAAAAATAAGTAAGACATGACATCTAAGTATGATGAATGTTGATTTAAGCATCTTCCTCAAAGGTTTGGAAACAAATAATGTCTTTTGCTAGATAGCTGGAAAATCGGCACTCCCACATTCCACATTAAAAGCCAGTTGTGATATGTAGATATATTTATTTCCTTTCAAGTAATAGGTTCTGGAGGGGTGTTTTAGAACCATGGCTGAAAATGCAGTGCATTAGGTATTTGTGTTGGTTTAGTTTTATGATACCACACCATCAGCAAGGCAATTTTAAGCATATCAACGTCATTCAGTAAAAAGAAATAGTTATTTATCTTACTAGTTCGCAATTGAATGGACCAACAGATAATGAACTCATAACATGTGTATGAGAATTCGGGACGGGAGGGAAGGAAAGAAACTGGAAGTATATGAAGGGAGTTGAGGGGAAGGAAAGAGAAGGTAATACTCCCAACTTGTTTGGTTTCATAGAGAAATGGGAGTTGAGAAATTTTTCTTTGGTCACAAGAAGTGTGGGGAAGTGATGATTATAAGGTTACATACACACTTGAGGTTAAGAGGTAGAGCTTGTTAGAAAAATAATGGGGCTAATTGGTAGTTTGTTTGAAAATTATGAAGTTATCACCTTCTCCTCTATTACCCACAAATTTGGAAGAGGGAAGTTTTCCAAAAAGATGGGGGGAAATAAAGGTTAAAACTTTCCCTTTGGCTCCTGTGAAAAAGCTCTTCCCAAAACAATTAAAGACAATCCCTCAATTTGAGGACAGAACAGTGATGATCAAACAGAAAAATTATGAAAATTTATTCTTCACCACTGAAGCATGCTAAATGGAAGGAAGAACAAAACTGTACCTCTATCGAACTTTTTGCTGTCAATATCTATGCCAATTATACGTGACGCACCGGCTGCTTTTGCACCCTCTGCAACCTATCCATAAAATACAGTTATTATGACATAGACAGCACAAAATGGTTCTATTTCCCCAAAGGTGAGGGAGGCCAAGCTATCTAACGTTATTCACTACTTACTGCAAGGCCAACTGTTCCAAGTCCAAAAACAGCAACAATGGACCCTGCTTCTACTTTCGCAGTGTTCCAAACTGCTCCAAGACCTAGAGACAGCACATGTGTGTTAGTGTTTCACTTAAATACATCGAGATGAATGCACAGCATCATTTAAATAATCTAAACAAACACCAAAAACCATGGGTAGGCTTCAATCAGAAGAGTATTCACATAGATCAGAATTAATGTTGCATCTAAGCTTATATTTTAACAAGCCAACAAGAACTCGAGATGCAAACAGAAACTTCAAATGTAACAAAAGAATCTTCCTAGAGAAGGGTTTTTTTATAAAAAAAAAGAACAAATTAAAAAGTTCCCAGAGCACATCAATAGGCAACCAAAATATGACATGATGTACAAACCATTAGGCAAATGTGATGGGCATTGTTGAATGAAAATAATAAGATCCAAGGAAAACATTGCCTTAGGAACTGGCTCTCCACACAATTATGCCAATTATCAATAATAGACATGCAGTATATCAACAGAAAAAGTTTGATGTAGTAATTACAAGTATTGACAAACTAAGATTTACTTACCAGTAGGAACACCACAGCCAAGGAGGCAAACTTTCTCCAAAGGAGCCTTGGGGTCGATCTTAGCAACACTAACATCATGTACAACTGTGTACTGGCTGAATGTCGAGGTTCCCATAAAATGGTAGATAGGTTTTCCATTAATTGAGAAACGGCTTTTACGATCATTCATCATGACTCCAACACCAGTGGCTGCACGAACTTTTCCACAAAGGTTTGTCTTCCCTGATTTGCAAAACTTGCATTCTCTGCATTCTGCCTGGTAGCAAGGGATGACATGATCACCTGGTTGAACCTCAGTGACACCTTCACCAACACTTTCAACAATCCTGTGTCAAAAAATCCAACCACATCTCATGTTTCAATAAAAGACAGCGCAAACAGTTGAATGAGTGAGATGTTGATATCTATGATATGCATACCCAGCAGCCTCATGACCAAGAATACAGGGGAAAAGACCTTCAGGATCCTGCAACACAAATTAATTAAACAACATCAATATCAAACAAAAAATAATGGCAGTAAGGATACACAAAGAGGGAAAAAAGGAACAAGAACAAAACCTTGAATTTTTATTACATTGAGCAACAAGTCATAATTTTTGAAGTTCTTCATAAAAACGCAAGATTAAACTGAGGGGTTATCTGGTATAATTTGTGGTTTACGTTTTCTGCTTTTATTTTCAGTTTTGGTTTTTAAAAACAGAAAAAGAAAAGCAGAAATGATACCAAATAACCCCTATCCCCTAATATATTTGTATAATTATTTCTTTTAATGCTACACAAAATACCCCAAATCACAATGATATTGCTGTTACTGCCAACGAGACACACTATCCAGTTTAGAATTCGAGGTTATAACATAGACAGATGGCAGAAAGGATCAACCTCTGTGTTTAATTGAAAACTGGAAATTCAAGAGCATATATATATATATATATTTTTCCTTCCTGAGATTTATAATAATGGCCAACATTCCCTACAAGAAGCCCCGTTGAAAATGATGCATGCGTGTTCCCTAGACTACTCAGTGTTCTTATTCATTTTAAGATCAGGAAAAACCCTAAACTTTGAAATGAATAAAAAAAAAAAAAGGGAATAAAATTGATAAAAGTAAGAATAAAAAAGAAAAGAAAATACCTTGCCACTCCAAGTGTAAGCATCAGTGTGACAAAGAGCAGTGAAGAGAATCTTCACTCGAACCTCACCGGCCTGTGGTGGAGCCACTTGCACATCCTCTATCACCAATGGCTTGTTCGCATCCCAAGCAACCGCAGCTTCGCATTTTCAATTCCAAATCCAAATTCAAAATCATTAGGTTTTTATAACCGCAAAAACACAAACATGCATACATCATCGTGTGTACATAGAGAAAAGGGAGAGAGAGTACCTTTGCAAGTGATGACCTTTCCCTGAGTAGCCATAGATGAATGAGAGTGAAGTAGACAGAAGAAAAGAAACCAGCGTCAGAAACAAAGAGAGTGAAGATGGGGATTTTATTTTATTTCTTCACATGAGGAGCTGCTTTCTTCTCCGTTTATAATGGCAATGAGTTCCCCTTTTTCTGAGTAAATTATAAATTAGTCCCTATATTTATATTTGTTTTAGAAAAAATAAATTAGTTAGTCTGTCTTATTTTAAAAATTAATTACTTAGTTTCTTAACATGCTTTGTCTATACTTAATTTAATATTATATTATTTTATAAAATATCATATTTTTATTAATTATTTATGTTATTTATATATTTATATATTTCTTTAAAAAATCAAAATAATTGAAAATAAAAAAATGATTAAATTAAAAAAAAATTAGTTTTTGAAACAAAAAAATCAATTTATTAATTTTAAAAAACTAAATATACTAATTTATAATTTACTCCCATTCCCTGAATTTCTTATTTATTATCTAAAAGGGGAGGCCACGTTTTGTAATTAGCTGAAGGAATTATTAGCGATTCCTTGGACATTTATAATTAAAGAAAGGTATTGCTACTTAGGGACATTGACATTGAAGTGTGGTTATAGATTGGTGGAGTTGTATTACCATCACTTTTATTTACATATATGTAATATTAATGAAATCCGATCATAGTTTAATGGGTTATTTACATAATTCAATCATGGTTTAAAGATAAAATTAAATCTTCTACTTATACCATGAATTCTCTCTCTCTCTCTCTCTATAGTGTTATAAACGCAATGTTTTAGAATATTCAACACGAAAAGGACTTAAAAGTTTTGAAGTTTGAACTTCAGTGATCAAAGGAAAGGAGACATGCAATTTTCAGCTATTAGGTCAGCCTGGTCAATTAAGGTGGTGCTAGGTCAAAGCAAAACCAATGCGACACGAAATCATAAAGACTTAAAGTGTTTTTGGATCACTAGATCAATCCCTCGTTGTTAGCTTCTCTCCTCTTTGCCAAACGAAAGTGATAGATTTTTCGGTAATAATATAATTCCTAGTAATGTTTTAGAATATCTAAGATGAAACAGACTCCAGCTTTGAAGTTTGAACTTCGATTGATCGAAGGAAACGAGAAATGCAATTTTTCAACTACGAGGCCAAACCTTTCTATTATTAAGTATTTTGAAAAAAAAATTATAAATATAACTTTCATGTCAATTTGATGCATGTAGAAAATTTAATGAATTCCTTAGATTCTAGTCCTAAAATTTTAATAATAAAATATCTTTGATCATTAGACCCACTCGTAAGGGTTACTCTTCTCCTTCCTCCATGTCAAACGAAAATGACAAGACCACTGAAAATAAACTAATAAAAAAGATGTCTTGTCAGTAGTATGAAAGCAATACTTAAAATTTTCAAATGATTTGGGCTTGTGGGCTTGTTGGGGTGCCGTGCTCTATATCTGAGTTGGGTTTTAGAGATGTGAGCCTCTGATATTGAGTTTTGGGCTTATGAAACCACAACAGGTTTGTAAATGTGGGCCTCGGCCACAGATTTTAGAGCCAGTATATCTTATTTCTTATGAGAAAACAATAGGGGAACTCTTTCGGTTCAAAAAGCCCGAGAGTGGCAGTGAAGGTGATTAAAGATCTTTAGGGGTCAACATTCAGTTTTTAAACATTTAAGTTTTTTTTTCATTAACCGAACTAAACAAAAAATAAAAATAAAAAACTCCAACAAAATTACTAGCTAATTTTTAAAACCAAAATTTCAATTTCGATAAAAACCAATTTTTTTTCATTTTTTTTTAAAATAATGTAAATAGGCCAACAAACTTGTATTATGAATTATGGAGTCTTAGTACAAATGGTATAAATTAACCTATATAAAAGATAATAAATATTTATTTAAATAAAATTAAAGCACAGCACCATACCATATAGTAAGATATTAAAATTTAAATATAAATCCACATCTAAAATATATAATGATAAAAAAATGATAGTTCAAATATTTTATAAACTGAACTACCAAAATTTAAATAACAATCAAAAGTTCAAAATGTTAAAAAAAATAAATAAATAAAACCGAACTAAAAATATATATATAAATTCAAGTAGTTTTTTTTTTACTTTGAATTTAAATTTTGGTTCGGTTTCAATTTCAAAAGAATAATGCTCACTCTTACTCTAAAAGCACTTCAAATTTGACTTGATTCAAACTTCAAAGGGTAAGATGATTAACTACTCTAAGCTAGACATGGTAACGGTTCGGTTTGAACCGTAAATCAAACCGAAATCAAACTGTTAAAAAATAGCACCGAAATCATTAAAACCGTAACCTTGATCAAACCGGATCATAACCGACTACCTACGGATTGGTTATGGTTTAAGGTATCATGAAACCGGAACCGACGGTTCTACATCTTTCCTAATAAATTTGGGTTAGGTAAAAAAAAAAAATGAAAAAATTTAAATAAAAAAACCAATTTTATATGGGTCGGACGAGTAGCTATTAGATCGAAAAATGGAAAAAAAAAATTAAGCCTAATAATTTTAAAATTTTGGGCTTAATAAATAATAATAATAATAATAATAATATATCATAAATGTGACAAACGGTCACATTTGTGATCGTTTTTTTCCATAAATACACTTTCAATTTTTTCATTCTCCTCACAACTCAATCTCTTATTCTCTCTCAATCTCTTAAACTCTTAAGTCTAGAATTCTCAATACTTGTCCTACAATATTTTTTATACTCTAAATACTTCTTAAATTTTTTACATTTTTATTGTTTTATACTATAAAAAATGACAAGTTCAAGTTCACATATGTCATCACAATAAAGTAATACCGCTAATCAAAATCGAGCGGGGAGCAACAACAACAATCAAATTTTACACCTATATCATTTGACATCTTCAAAATTCATTTCTCAAAAGTTTCTTTAGAAAAAAACGTTTTTTACTATGATTTGGAACTACCGCAATAAGCAATACACATTCAAACAAGGAGGTGGTTATGGAACAAGAGGTAATTTGAAATGTAAAAGAGAACTACGTAAGCTTTGATTACTCTAAACCCCAAAAAGATACGTAGGAAGCTTAATTTTTGTGGTGTTTACAAAAATTAAGTTCAAGCCCTTCTTTATTTATTTATTTTTTCCCTTTGATTTATTGTGCGAAATACATTACAATGTAAAAAAATTATAATATTTATACGTTATGCAAAAAGAAGTTTTTTCGTTTCAATGTTAATGTTTGATTTATACTTGAGAAAAAATGTTCGATTTTTTTTATTTTTTCATTTAATAAAAAAAACCGTTGAATCATTGGGTTTTACAGTTTCAAACCGAAACCGTAACTATCCATAGAAGGTTTGGTTAAGGTTCCACCTTTTGGTGGAATCTTAACCGACAGTCGAGAACCGTTACCATGTCTACTCTAAGCTCCTAGAACCCTAACAATGTGTACGACAACTTAAAAATTATGAGAATAGTAGGGAAATGAAATGAAGGAAACGAAAGAAGGAAAAAAGAGAGCAAAATTAAGTAGAAAAATAAATTTTTGTTGCAAAAGAAATGGTATAAAAATAGTAGAATTGAAGTAAAAAAGATTAAAAAAAAAAACAAATTTACTATAAAATAAAATTAATACAAAACATAATAACTTCAAATAATTCTCTTAATCTCTACAAAATACTTGTATCCATTTAATGAACAATGAGTTTATTTATAAGTTTCAAGATTAGGATGAGAATTGAAAGTAATTATGAATCATTAAAAATACATAAATTTGTTGAATCAATTGCATCATTCTTTCAAATTTTCATATTGAATGGTAACTAGAATCACATTAAAAATTATGAGTAGTGAGAATATAAAAAATATATAAACATTCATATAGACATTCATTATTTCTTAACAATTTTCTATTTTTATTTTTTTGAGAATATTTCTCATATTACATAAATACGAAAAAAAGGTTAACTCATAAGTTATGATTTTGTGCTATTATATATCCTTATTAACATGTGAGTTGTGTTATCGATTTGAGTAAATATATTTTTTTGTTTTTTTTTTTATCAAATCACTTTTCTTTCATTCCCATCTATTCATTTACATGGTATATTATAATAAGTGTTTAATTTTATATATTTCATCTAAAAAATATCAAGAAAAAGAATATAGTTAACACACAATATAATGGGTTAGTAAGCTGTAGGAGTCTCTCTACTTTTTATTTCGTCTTCATCGTATCTTTTTATTCTTTTTCGTTTTAATTTTGTCAATTAATGTTTGATTTATATCTTAATTTTGTTTTTCATTAACGTTTTGAATTGGCAGTATTAAATTGCACTATTAGCACTACAAGATTGTGACATGCATTGATTTTTTTTTTATCAAATTTTAATAAATAAATTTTGAAAAAAAAAAAGCAACTAGAAATTCTTTATTGAATTATTTTTCCCAAAGTTCATTAAAAAGAAGCTAGAAATTTGCTACCTTAAAATCATTTAAAAAAAATAGAATTAAAAAAAAATAAAAAATAAAAAATAAAAGAATCCCTACAACCCTTAACTCATACTGTAATACTAAAATTCTCAACATGAAAATGACATAGGAATTGAATTGTTACGCACCTCGCGATCATGGGGCATGGCAAACGAGACAACTCTTTCTCAGTTGGGCACTCGATCTGAGTGTCTGCTTTTGAATTTTGTGAGCTTTGGAGTTACACCACGCAGGTAAACTTGTGCTTCATCCATGCTTTTGCACTTCGCACCCTTTTTTCTCTATTTTTGGCCCTTTGACTAATGTAGTACGCTTTTCTTCCTTTTTTTTTTTTTTGGCACTAAAGTATCAGTTTGTTGGTTAAAAGAGATTAAGTCTCATACGAGATAATTTTAAAAGCATTTCGAGAAATAAATTCTTTTAGATATTAATCTCAAAATTCGAATTCAATAAATTAAGAAATAGAGTAAAAGTTCTTGACTACTAGAAGTGCAGTACCC